TGTGGAACCCTATACAGAGAAGCAACTATACCAGAGATGGAGGCAGAGATGAGAACATGGAGAAATGGAGCAGCTGAGGACTCTAGACTTATGGAAACAGAAAGGCTGTGTGTTGGCAGCCAGGAGGCAGGCTTGTAGAATGCAACCTTTGGTTGTTTAAAGGATTATATATTCCTGAGTGTTTTTGTGTACATTAAAAAAAAAAAAACCAAAAGGAATAGAAGCAAATACTGTTGAATGATGATATACAAAGGGGACTGTAATTATTGCAATGAAACAATGAGTGTAAAACCAATGTTCTCCCATGTAAACTTCACTCAATTCACAATAAAACTTAAAAAAAAAAAAAAAAGAACATGTATTATTTATATTGACTGTGGAGTAGTAAACCTAAACAAAACACCTGAGGTACTAACATATCTGAATTGTGTGACTTCAGAGCCAAACAAAAAACTACATTTGAATTAAAAAAAAAGTTTGTGCTTGATAGGTACTGAAACAACTCATAGAAGAGTATAAATAGAAGTGCCTGGACATCTGCAAACAAAATTTGGACCAATACTTGAAGGGTATAAGTTTCTTTTAAAATATCGTTACTGGTGACGAGACATAATCCAGATATTACTGAGTCTGACCGTAAACAGCAGAGTATGGAATGGAAACATCCTCAGTTGCCAAGAAAAAGCTCAAAAGTCAATCATCAGCTGGAAAACTGATAGTTTTCTGGGATTCTAAAAAGGCCAGTATTGGAATACCATCAGGAAAAAGGTTCAACAATCAACAGTGAGATGCTCACTGAAGAGCTGAAGCCTAAACTTTGGATTAAATGCGGAGGACTGTTATCCGAGGGCATTGTGATCTTGTATGAGAATGCATGTCCACACACCTCTGCCCACACTATTGACACTCTGCAAAAATTTCATTTTGAGTCATTAAAGCATCCTCCCTATAGTTCTGATCTTTCTCAATCGGACTTTCACCCGTTTGGTCCCCTGAAAACAGCCCTTCAAGAACGAAGATTCACATCTGATGAAGAGAAAATAGCAGTGCATTCAACATTTTCAGTAAGGGAATACGAAAGCAGGTTGACAGATAGGTAAAGTGTATTATTGAAAAACAAAAAAAAACAAGATTATGTTGAAAATGATGCATTCATCTTTTCTAAAAAAGTTGATTAAAATAAAGTCTACAGCTAGAGTGCTGATAATTTTTATTTGTCCTAGTATTAGTCAGCAAGTGGAACAAGGACTGGATCTCAATGCCCTCTTGCCACCTCATTCAGGACCCAACCTTGTACTCTTCAGTCTTTGGGAGACCCAAGCCCTGTTCTGTGAAGAGTTCCAGTCTGAGAGAAAAGTCCTACTTTGGGGAGCTCCCAAGCCATGAGACAGAATAATTAGGTCTGAGCTGAGGTGGACAGGAGCGCTCACATGCTTGCTCTTACCCCTATTCTTCTGGACCCTGCACAGAGCAAAAGAGCTGGCAGGCAGCCAGGACAGAGCAGTGGCCAGGTATTTTCTCCCCTTCCCTCTCTACTGGAGGGATCTGGAGCTCAGCCCTTTCCAGTCCTTTTTTCCTTCTCACCTTACCATTGGAGCCCAGAAAAACTCAGGCTCAAAAGCAAGTGGTTTGCCCAGGGGCCAGAACATCTAGTGTCTCTGTAGCTCAGCCCCAACTCCCTGTGTGACCTTGGGCAAGTTCCTACTCCTCTCTGGTCTCAAGTAGACCAGAAAAATTATCCTCCCCACCCACCCACCCACCTCCCAGAATCTGAAGTTGTTGCCTTAGTTGATTAAGAGGGAAAGTACATCTGTCTCTGGGACCAACCCTCTTCTTGGTCCTCCTTAGTTCCCTGGGATAGTCCTTCCTCTCCCTCTGCAACATGGGTTGAGCACTGTCCAGTCCTGGGAAAGCCGAGTGACTCAGGTACCCTAAGCATCGTCCCCCATCCACCTTATTGGCTCACCTCCATTAATCTATGACTTACAAAGCAAGTACCGATTGTTGGGGAGGAGATGAGTGTCAGTCTACCCAAATTTAACTTAAGTCGTTTAGCAACTGAACAGCCTCAGGACTTTGTTGAATATAACGTGCTGCAAAAACTTTAGGCTTTGGGGTCCTGCTCTCATTCTCCAAAGGAAGGAACCAAAGGAAAATGGGAGTTTTCAGCTAAAAGGATTCCAGTTTGGAGGGATTTTCAGGTGTCACAGCCAGAAGAAAGGACCCATTGAGAGTTTCCTAACTGTAGCTACATAGATAAGATTGTAAGTTCAGTCAGAACTGGGAAACCAAGGTCCAAGAAGGCTTTATTTAAAGCCATGGAAGGACTCCAGGGTTCCTGCCTCCCACCTGAGAGCTTTTTCTCTTACACTGTTCTCCAATAACCAGATTTTACAACCTTGAGCTGGAGGCAAAACACATTTAGAGTACCCAGATGTGTAGGTCCCAATGCAGAGTAAAGAAATCATACTATCCATGGGTTATAGGCACCCAGAGGTAAATGCAGCAGCCCCCAGATGCACTCATATGAATACTTTCTAGGCCTGTCTCTTCTCCCCTTAAGGCACAAGCTTCCACCACCACCTCCCCTGAAGCCCCGGTAGACTGGGGCCTGAGTGGCCACATAAATCATTCTGGGTTGGGGTGAAGGAGCCCTGAGCAGTCGCCTCTGACATCAGCATTCTCACCTACTTCCCAGAGAAATGGGTTGAATTTGCAATGAGGGCTTCCTGGATTGATCCCAAAGCCCTTTAAAGGACCTCAGAAAGAACTACCTACCCTCTCCTCCCACTCACCCCCAACCCATCAAGCTGGAACAGGGAGTACAAGGGCCCTTTCCCTACTCACATTGGGTGCTGGGTGCCTGACAATTGCCATCATCATGCTTATTTCATAGGTGGGTAGACTGAGTCCCACCAAGGGGAGCAACTTGCCCAGGGCCACACGGGGAGGTAGTATCAGGGTCTGAACTCATCCTGATGGGGGCTGGTGTTATCCCTGCTGCAATCCAAGATCTGTCTGAGGGCAGATCCCACCCAAGTCAGAGGGCACATTCAGAGGCAGGTTTAGGAGGGGGCCCAAAGCTATGGGGCTACACCTGAGCTGACCTGGAAATGAAGCCTAATGGTTTAAAACCAGCCAGGAAGCCCTCTCTCCCCAGAGCCCACACAAACAGAAGACTGGACAATGAGGGACCAACACAAACCGAGATAGAAGAGTCAGACATCCATGGACTCTGCATGCCTCGAGGCTGGGATTAGGTTTCTCTCACCATAAATCAAGTCCTGCATACTAGTGCTTGCAGTTCGTTTGTAGACCCTGACTCACACAGCCAATTTCATCCCTGGTCTAAGCTGCCCCATGATAAATGACAGGTAGGGGGTTGGCTGGCATAGATTCACAAGGACTAACAGTCTTGGTGTGGCGCATCAGAATGCAAAGTCGTTTACTGTAAGGTCAGTGGTTCAAGCTCACCAGCTGCTCCTTGGAAACCCTATACAGGGTCGCTATGGGTCAGAATCAACCCAATGGCACTTAACAACAAGAGTTGAGACAAAGAGACCAAAGTTTTCACATCTGACTTCTCATCTTGATGAGGAAGCTCAAAAGGCAGAAATAAAAATCCCTTCACAATGGGCCCTGCCTGTCACTGAATGTTCCCTCACTGGGAAAATGAAGTTAATCTGAAGCATCTACTTCAGAAAATGGGCATGATTATATGATCATATTTACATATGTGAAATATACACTCCAGGAAGCATGAACTTTTACTACCTCTCAGGCAGTATCTTTCCCCATCACCCTACGGCCAGTCTAGAAATAATATGCAAATTGAAGGCTTCCAATGGCCTTCCCTGGCCTCCATTTGCTTGGAACAGATGTCCCTCCCACCCACCCATGACCTCCCTGAGAACGTTATGGGGTAACATGGGCATCTAGAAATCTGTGTTTGACCATGGTTCCTGCCTGCAAGGAATTTACCTATGGGAGATAAGATTAAAACCATGTTAAAGAGGGAAGTAAGCCAGGAACTTGGGGAAAATTAAGCAATTTAATTTTCAATCAGAGCTCAATGAAGAGTTTGCCCTATCAATGTTGCAAAGTGAACCAAACAGACAATAACTGTCCTGGTAGCTTAGAGAAGGGAACATCACCTCAGGCTGGAGGTGGAGGCACTATTTGAGCTGAGTCTGGTAAAACGGCCAAGATTACGAAGACAGAGGAGAGGCTGCTGGAAGGGGGTGTGTGGAACAGGCTGAGCTCCTGATGAGCAGGAAGGTCTTGCTTACCTCCAAAGCCCATGATAGGTGAAAAGAGGGACAGAGAAGGACAACAGTACACGACAGCCAAGGCAGATAGCCAGGGTCCAACACAGAGCTGCAGGGACTAGAACCCTGAGACATCTGGCAGTGCCCACTGTTGTGTGCCTCTCTCTCCTGAACTGGGGCACCCAAGCCCTCCTCACTCACCCAGCCCCTTCCTGTCCTCTGCTCTTTTCCGACGTTCCCACCCTGGGCAGCAGCACCCACACAGGAAGGCACTGTGCCCCTTCAATGTGGCCCATTCATTCATACACAGAGTCCCCTTCCCACTGAGGGCACCCTACAACCCGCAGGAAGTGCCACACCTTCTCTGGGCTCCATCTAAAGGCCTGACATTGTACTAAAGGGCACCCTGAAGTGTGAACATGCATCTGGCAGTGGGAAGAGAGCAGCCTAGAAGAAAATGGTTCCCCCCAAACTATAGGTGGATGGATCTGGGTTCTGTTCTTTCCTGGAGACAGGCCCCACCCTCTTCTGGCAGGTCAGACCCACAGGACACCATGGCCAATGTGGGGCAGCACCAGAGGAATCAAGAGCAAACCAGGGCAGCCTTTTGTACAGCTGATTCCATGTGTTTAGGCCAGCAGGTCCTCCACGGAGGGTCCACGTGGTTGCCCAAGTGTCATCTTGCTCCAGAAGTTCTGTTGTCCACCCACAGCTAGCTGCTGGCACTGAAACTCACACAGTCCACCTCTCACTTCGAGGCTCCACAGTCTGCACCAGGCCTTCGCCCAGCACGGCAAAGTCCTCCAGTATTGCTTCCACATTGGGCACCATCATCAGCTCCCCACCTTGAGACATCACCATGCGTCCCTTTGTGCTGGAGGCCTGGAGAAGCCACAGAAGAAACGTGGGTGAGGGGGTCACTAAGGCACATTCAGAGACACTAACTATACTGGGGGCAGGGTGGGTGGGGTGTGGAGACAAGATGCACATGAACCCACATGCCTCCCTCCCACCGGACACAGGCTGGCTCATGGAGCAGGCCACGCAGACTTCAAGTTCACATGGAACCACACAGTGAGGAACACATGGCAGTCACCAGCTAACGCACCTTGAAGGGCTGGGGCTGGAAGCTGGTAGGCTTCCAGAGAACGCCAATCACTTCACCACCATGCTGGTCATAGAAGAAGAGGGCCAGCTCCCCAAAGGCCTCCTAGAGGGGGCAAGATAGACATATGGTTGCAATCAGGTAGCTCCAGAGCCCAGCTCCTCCCAGGAGTCTCATCTCCAGCCTTTTAAGACATACTCTGAGCTGCGCCAGATAGAGCTGGGGAGGATCATAACCCAGCACAGGCATCAAGGGTGAGGGTCGGGGATCAGCGAACAGGCCACGGCAGAAGGAGGCAGCCGGTGAGTCCACAGCTTGGCGGTGGCGGGGAATGTGACGGGGAGACAGGTGGATTAGCACATCATACATGTCCAAAGGTGGCCGGAACACTGTCTGAGGATGGATAGGGTGGTGTCAGCAGTGCCTGCTCGGAGTTTGGAGTGAGACCACAAACTCCTCCACAAGCTTCCCTCTGTCTACTTTGCTAACCATCCATCATATGGGAACACTTAAGACCCATGGAAGAAGCATCTGAAGCAAGCTTTTGTCCAATAGAAGGAACACAAGCTAGAAGCACGAAGCCTAGATGGAGCCAGGCTCCCAGGTTCTCCTCCAGGTCTCCCAAAGCCTTCTGTTCCTAGACAGTCAGCAAAATAGGGCATGGGCACTTGGGAGGGGTCCCATCCTGGAGTCACTCTTGGTCAGGGGCTTACTCTGATGTCCCCAGGCCCCCAGGGATCCATTAGCTGCTTCTCTAGGATGGGCAAGGCCTCAGCTGCCAGGATCACGAGCTGCTGTAGGATCTGGGAAACACAAAAGTATCAGAGCAGACTGACCACACATCTCCCCAGGAGAAACTACACATTTAGGGGGAGGGATGGGGTTGAACCTGGGCTGAGGGTCCATCTTGTGTCCATACAGAACTCTTACGGTCCTGGGGAGTAGTGATGACCATTACAGGGAGTTGTGTCCGAGCTGCCAGGAAGCCACTTCGGATCTCTACCTGCTCCTCCACTGGGGATAAAGGGGGGAAGCCCAGGTCAGCCTGTCCCTCCTGCCCCAGATCCTTCAGCAGTAGGCCCAGCGTCTGTCCACCAGAGGGATTTTCTAAAGAAGGCCCTTACCCCCTGGTGACCAAGGTGATGAAAGTAACAGCAGTTGCCTCAAACTGGGGGGCTTTAACCTCCTGGCTTCAGCCCAGCAGAATTTTCCACTGCCTCACATACCCATTCTGGTTTCTGGGACTACACAAGCCGAGGCCTGCCCCTAGCCCCTTCTCCCCTGTGCCCCACACACCTGGGGAATTAGGAAGCTGACACCATGCTCTCTGCAGCGCCAGGAGTTCCTCATATTACAACCGGAAACTACCAACCCCACCCCTCAAGAGGTCTGGGCATCTCTTCTAATCCGGGCCCTTCCCTGCTCGCCACCACAAGACTTCTCACCTAATGTTCAGGGTCCCCACTCTGCTCACCCTCCACAGCCCAAGTGTAGCCTGCTGACCACCCACAGACCATTCTCTTTCTGACCATCGTGTGGGCAACATTTCTACAGTGTAAGAGCTCTCTAAACGCTTGGACCTAGGCCTCTTCCTCCTGGCACCTCCCCACCCCAAGGGCTGGTCTTAGATACCTGAGCCAGGTGAGGCAGAGAAAACCCATGTCTGTCCCGTTCTGCAGACCGCAAAGGGCAGCATTTCCAGCAGTCCAACCCCAGTTCCTACCACTCACCAGTGAGCTCGTTGTTGAGGTTGACAATGAGGGGGTTGTTCTTCCAATCAAAGGTTGATACCAGGCAGAGAAACCGAAGGAAGCCAACCTGGGGGGAGCTGAGGGCAGGGAATAAGCACAGAGTCTAGAGTCTAGCTCACTGCCCAGTCTCCTCCCATCAGTCACAACCTAGGAGGGTCTTAAAACCCCTTCTGTCATTTGCTTCTACTCCCCTCTCCCACTTAGTGAGGGTACTGTATGAGGGATAAAGACTGGCCCTAAGGGGAGCTTTCCCTGCTGGGAAAGGGCAGAGAAGATCACCTGGGTGGAGAGAAGGGTTCAGGGTGCAGGAAGAGGGCAGCAGCCACCAGGTCCAGGCTCTCATCAGAGAAGCTCTCCCCCAGGAGCTGGGCGCGAACCCACCGCTTGGCCAGCCGAGCCACACCCGAGAAGGCTGGGTGCTGCTGCTGGAGTCTAGAAGGAGAAGGGAAGCATGACTGTGAGACCAGGTACCCAGGGCCCAGGACCAGTGTCTTAGCCTCAGCGCCGTTAGTCAACCCCTACCCAATGCTGGCCTGTGTTAATGCTGCTCGACATGCGCATCTCCTGTTCTCCTCACAAATGCCCTAAAGACTTGCTCCTATCACTGTTCCCACTTTAGAGATGAGGTAAATCAGGTCCTGAGGAGAATCTCACTGAAGGGACACAGACAGTCAGGGGAGCTAGGACTTACCTCCTACCCCTGACCGTGACCAGGACGCTATCTGGCCCCCAGAAGAGCAGGAGTCAGGAGAGGAGAATGGGGGCAGGAAAGGTACCCAGATGGGGAGAGCCTGCAGGGGACCATACCCATGCAGGGCGCTGGTGAGCAGGGGCAACTGCTTCGTGTCCCTCTCAAGGCGGCGGGAGGCAGGTGTATCCCTCAGTGACATCACCCCCTCAGGGCTTCGTGTCTCCCTCAGGATCTGGGGCTCCCGCTGGTAAGCCACCCGTACCCGGAACACGAATCCATCCTGTCAGGAACAGGGAACAGGTGTAGGGATGGGAAGTGGCACCCCCGTCCTCCCCACCGTACCGGTCTTGCCTCACACTAACCTTGAGGACATCTGTGTGCGTGGCGGTGGCTTGGCACCGCAGCCCATGTTTCTGGGTTAGTAACTCTGCCAGGCGAAGTTGGAAGGCAGCTCGGACCCGTCGCACGGCCTCAACATCCTGAGGCCACTGACCACTGCCCTCCAAGTGGCACACCACTGAGAAGAAGAGCCAGGGATCGTCTCTAACTGTAAGGTAAGTGGGTGCTGCTCCGCCCACTGACTCCACACCCTCCGAGAGCCCCTCACCAGTCATAGGTTCCACATAGGCTGGACAGGGCTTGTCGGGCCGGGGCGCCAGTGAGGCCTGCTCTCGAAGGCGCTCATAAAAGGAATAGGCTGGCCAGGCAGGCAGTGGTGGGAATACCTGTAGAAAAGTATTCCCTGAGGATTGAGCGTGGATAGGTGGGGGAGGTGCTTGGCATCAAGAGTTGGGAGAGGGGACACCAGATGACTACAGCAGAGTTGAGGGTTCCCAGGTGGAGAGAGTCCAGGCCCTCTTGCCCCTCACCTCCGTGTATCGCAGCACTGGGTGAACACCTTGAACAGCAGAGACAGTCAGTGGGAGGTCCTCCAGCCCCCACAGCAGGCGGCTGAGGTCATCGTAGCAACGCACTGTAGCTGCCAGGGCTTCCTCCCCTGTGCTGGAGGTCTGAGCAGAAGAAGACAGTAAGGACACCAGGATAACAGAACCCTAACACCCCAGGGCCTCTGCCATGGCTCAGCTAAAGAACCAGTGCCCCCTCTGCTGGACACTCAGGGAGCTACAGGCTGGCCTGGGTTTTCTCCCACTGCACCTGCAATTCACAACTGCTAGTCCGACCCCCCAGTACAGGGCCCTTACCTCCTTCGGGCCTTGTATCAATGCATCCAGGAAGCCCCCCACATAGTGGACACAGGTATCTGGGATGTCTGCATGACTGGAGAGGGACAATCACAGTGAGGGCACAGAGAACTGTGACGCAGCAGGAGATGAGCTCCTAACCCCCAACAGCCTGGGTCAGACCCTAATCAAAGGCTCCCCACCCAGGGCTGCCTCCTGGCATTTAGACTGTTAACACTCACAGTGCTAGGAGGTGGGTGACCACCTGCTGGGGAATAAGGCGCTTCTGAGCTACCGAGGCTGCCTCCCAGACCACAGCTTCCCGAATGGCACCATCTTGGAAACGCCGGAGCTCTGAGCGGGAACCCCACAGTTGGCGGAAAACAGCAGCCTGAGGAGAAGGAAAGGAGACGTTGGGGTGGAGACCAAACAAAGAGGGTTCTGTCAGGATTCTCGTGGCAGGCTTCAATCCGGGTGGGAAAAGGACCACCGGTCCAGACAGGGAAATCCCCACACCAGTATCCAGGCTTACCTCAGACTGGTCAGCCTCTGGACCCATCTCCAGGACACTGGTCAGCCCTTCAGGACGCAGGAGCAATCCCAGGGTCAGGGCTCCGGAGTCTCTGTGCTTGGGAGGATCCTGGTGGATTCCCCACTGTAGGGTATAGAGAGACTGAGTCCTCCAACCTTAGGCCCCCTCCTATTTCACTCTTGCTGGAAGGACCATGTGTGACTAGCATCCCAAGCCCACTCTCCCACATATCCCCCCCTCCTCACACCATCTCACCTCCGGGACTGGAGGCCGAGAGTGGCCCAGCAGCTGCAGCCGGGATCCCAGGCCCTGCTCCAGGAGGGTAATGAGGGGGCCCAAAGCAGCTGAGACATAGTCCCCGCCATGATCTTGCAGCTCAGGCCACAGCTTCAACCGGTGACAAGCCGTCTGCAGACGACTCAGTGGGCGGAGACTAGAGGTGCAAAGAAACCAAGAAGAACCAGGGCTTGCTGGCTCCAAGTCAAGCTCTCAATCATTCCCCGGGAGGACCGAGCACCTACCGGAAAACCCGCCCAAACCTTGTTACGCCTCCACTCACTGGAGGATGTGGTCAAAAGTCCGGACCATTGGTTTGGGAGTCATCAGCAACAGCTGGAACCCGTCATCTGTTTTGCTGTCCAACAATGTCATGGACAGCCGTGCCTCGTGCTGCACCTGGGGCCAATGAGTCAGGAGAGACTCAGAGGTGAAACTGGTACCACTGTGCCCCCTCCTCATTGATCCAAGGACTCAAACCAGGAAGCATATCTGCCTTTAGCTCTTTGGAGGAGTGTAGAAAGTTCTGGTTCTAGCAGAAAAGTCTAGGAACCCAGTAGTAGAGGCCCAGGGGTACCTGGTGGTAAGTGGAGGCAGTAACATCAGCACAGAGGTTGAGATGGCCCGAGAAATCCAGGAAGACAACAGGGAAGGCCTGGTGGAAGTCAGCCAGGGCGGGCTGGGAGCGAGGGAGGAGGAACAGCAAAGTGAAGTCAATCAGGGTTGGAGCCTTATCTTCAGGTCCCCTTGTCCAGACCCAACTCTACCCCAACTCACCAAGGAAGGATCCGAGCTAAGACATGAACTGATCCCACTGACTGTCAGATCTGTGGTAGCTGGATGGAGTATACCAGAGAAAGGATGTCACAAGGTGTGTCCCTTTCTTGGAACACAGCCCTAAGAATAAGAACATCCCTCCTCAGTCCCAGATCCTATGACTGCCTGTCTCTGGAATCGAGTTGGAGCATTTATCTGATGGCAAGAAGAAGGCTGATCCCAGCCGGGATGAGAGGAATCCCAAGTGGAGAAGAACCCTTAACCTTTCCCAGCTTAACTGCCTCACCCAGAAACTGCAAGACGCTTCTCAGGACCTGGTAGCCGCTCATGGTGGTATGAATTTTGCGTGTGGATGTGAGGAAGGTAACCAGCATGGTGGCCAGGAACCCGCTGAACCCACCCAGTCCCTGAAAGAGATAGGAGAGGCCTCAGAACCAGCCTTAGACTCAGTGGGGCAGTGAGGCTGGGCCAACCTAACGCACCTTGTCCAGCTCCCGCTGCCGCAGCCAGACCTTCAGAAGACACACACCATCCTTCAGTCCTGGGGCTGATCCCAGGGCAGCAGACAGCAGCTGCACATGGGACTCAAGGACTGTGTCCTGCAGGACCCATGTGTTGTAGTGGGGTGTTGGGGGCTCTGGGCTCCCTGGGGGAGCAAAGGGCAAGATGTGAAGAGTGAAGTCCCCACAACACACCTTCCCTCCATCTCTTCCTGACACCAGTGCCAGCTCACCATCCCCTGGAGGACTCTGCCCTCGGTACCAGGCAGAGCGTACGTTGTTCTTGGTTGGCAGCAGGCGGCATAAGCGGAAGAACTCAGGTGGGGGACACGGATGTAGACGTACAGTAACCAGGCGCTCATCCTTCCCTGGGTGGAGACAGGGGCACTGAGAGCTTGTGATCACCTTAAGCAAGAAGAGCCTCTACAACAGCCTCCTCCAAGCTCAAGATCCCTGTACCTATTCTTCTGGACTTGTCACCCATGCTGTACCCAAAGCCCTGTGTGCTCCCTACCATGCGGCCGCAGCAGTAGTGAGGGTTTTAGGTGGCAGCCATTGCTGTAGGAGAAGCGAACACTGCCAAAGAGGGGGTCCTGGGCTAGGTAGTGAGCCATGTGGGCCAAGTAGAGGGCACGCTTGCGGAAGTAGCGCTGGTTCAGCCCGTCCTTGTCCTGCAGGATCTCCTGGAGGAGCAAGAGGAAGGAAGAGATGACTGAAGTGTTACAGCACTTGAGGGCAAAAATGACGTCACGGTGAGAACCCCAGCCTGGCAAACTCAAGTCTAAAGGTCTGAGTCAGGACTAGCAACACTCTATCCAGTTGTCAGATGAGAAAAGCAAAGTCCCGGAGGTACAACCAGCCTAAGAACACATGTAAGCTGACCTCAGAATGTCGGCAGTGCTCGGCTCTTTAGAGTCAGAATTCAGATTTCAAATCCTTGGTAAGTGAAAGTGGGAAAGAGGGTGGGCCCCAAGGACTTGAAGGTGGTAAAATGGCATGTCTCTCTACCCCCAAACCACAGACCTCACCCTGGGCATGGTCAGCGCCAAATCCACATTGATGTCCGGTCGGATGCAGGTGCCCAGAAGGTAGCTGCCCACAATGGTGACCTGGACTGGGGGCAGGAAGCGAAAACAGCCCTTCACAGTAAAAGGCACTTGGTGGATGGGAACACGAACCCCAGCTGGGAGCCATGCCTGATCCATCAGCTGTGGGGACAGAGACAGTGACAGGTATAGATTCAACTTTCCCAAAACGTGCCTTCACCATTTCACTTAACAACATTTCATTAACAACTCCACACTAGTTACTTAAACCAAAGCATTTAAATCGCCTTGACACAGCTCCATTAAAAATATCCATTTCTGCCTTCAAAATGTATTCAGATTGAACACTTCACTTTGCACCCTAGTCTGAGCCACCATCATTTTTTCAGTGGATCACAACACAACAGGTTCCTAACTGTTGTTACTAGGTGCCATCTAGTCAGTTCTGACTCACAGCAGTCCTGTATAGGTTTTCAGAGGAGTAACTGCTGACCTTGTAGTAAGCAGTCCAGTATTTATTCTGTATCACTGCACCAGAACTCTACAGTCTACCATTGCTATTGTTAAGTGCTGATGAGTCAGTTCTGACTCACAGCAACCCTGTATAGGATTTCCGAAGAGCAGCTGGTGGGTTTGAACCATCAACCTTGCTCTTAACCTGATTTCACCTTCATCCCTTTCCAGCCTATTTTCAACAGCCTGCATAATCTTCCTTAAACCCAAGTTCGATCACATTTCTCCTCTCCCAAAGACTTGTACAGTGGCTAACCACTTTAACAGGAGCAATAACCAAAGTTCTGATTCTGACATTTAAGACCCAGCATAACACGCACCTTTCCCCCATTGCTTTCTGTACACATCTCCTTCTAAACTTCCTCATCCATAGCAAAAATGAGCCAGGTTTTGGAGTTTGAGCCTTTGTGTACCAGTATTTCCCCTTCTTGGGATGTTCTTCCTCTTTGATCCACCTCCCTCAAATTTTCACAAAAGCCTATCCTAACTACTCTTCTATTTAAGACTGCAACCTACCCTTACTTGCTAATACTCCCAAACTCCTTACCTTGTTTTGTTTTATTCAAAGACAGTACTTATTCCCTTCTAAAAGAACTCTGGTATGGTGCTATGGGCTAATGTGGCAGACTGCAAAGTCATTTGAACTGCTAAGGTCAGTGGTTCAAGCTCACCTGCTGCTTCTTGGAAACCCTATACAGGGTCACTATGGGTCGAAATTGACTCAACAGCACTTAACCACAACAACAACAAAAGAGCTCTGGTAGCGTAGCGGTTACAAATCGGGCTGCAAACCGCAAGGTCAGAAGTTCAAAACTACCAGCTGTTCTGCAGGACAAAGATGAGGCATTCTGCTCCCATAAAGATTTACAGCCTCAGAAACCCTGTACAGGGTTCGTTATGAGTCAGAACCGACTCCACGGCACACAGCCACTACCACCACCACCACCATTATCATGGATTCCTAGTGTGGTTCTGCCCAATCAGCACTGGACTGAGAACCACAAGGTCAATAGTTTAAATAATGGCTCCTTAGAAATCTGATATACAGTCAATATGAGTCAGAACCAACTTGACAGCACTTAACAACATTACCATGGATCCATGGTGTAATGCTGTAGGATAAACACTGGACTGCAAACCACAAGGTTGGCAGTTCAAACCCACTAGCTGCTCTTCGGAAACCCCATACAAGGTCACCATTAGTCATAATTGGCTTGATGGTACTTAACATACCAGTGGAATCCTAGTGTGGCGCTATAGATAACACTGGACTGCTAACCACAAGGTCAGTGGTTCAAACCCACCAGTCTCAGAAACCCTATAAAGGGTTTCTATGAGTCAGAACCAACTCAATAGCCCTTACCAACAATATTACCATTAGGAACCCAGATGGCGTAGTGTGTTGAGTGCTGAGTTGCTAACTGAAAGATCAGTGGTTCAAACTCACAAGTTGCCCCACAGGAGAAAGATGAGGCTGTCTGCTCCCATAGAGATGTTTTGTTAACTGATGTATACAAAGGACATATTGCCAGGCCCCTAAGTGCTTCTTGAATGCATGGATATGTGACCGACCCAGGCTTTTGACAGTCCTAATGAGTCCCTTATCATTTCAGTCCCTCTAGAGAGTAACATGGCCTTTGTCTGAAAAGCGCTCAATGAGAAAGACCTCTTCTGGACTTCAAAATCTCTCAGGTCACCTGCCTCACCTCTGTCTCAGGGGTTGAGGGCACCCTCAGGATTCTCTGCTTGACCTCCTGTAGGAAGGTATCAATGCGTTCCTTCTTCTTCTCTGACAGTCTCACTTCCTTTAGTAGCTCCTCTACCTGCAAGAGGAAAAGGGGTATGTCCAACAGATTTAAAAGTCCCAAGCCTACTTCCCTAACCCAAACCCCAGCTACCCAATAGTACCTGTAAACGAAGCAGGCTGGAATGGAACAGGCTCTCAGTTTCCCGAAGGCGATTCAGCTCCTCACTGGTGGGCTCCTTGTATAGCTCTGCCCTGCTGAGCTTCACTGGCTGCAAGAGGCCCTCCACTGGAGACCCAGCCACCGTGCGTTTCTTTGAGGACGCCTTCTTCCCTCCCTTGCCTATGCTTTCCAAAATTGGCTCCATCACCTGTGGCCAGTGAGAGAGACAAACCAGTGTGAGATCCTAGGTGTCCAACACCAGTTACATTAGGTGCTACCATGATGTTGTGGTTGTCCAGTGCCGTCAATCAGTTCTGATTCATAGCGACCCTGTGTAGGGTTCCCAAGGCTTTCAATTCTGTAGGAGCAGAAAGCCTCTTGCTCCCTAGGAGTGGCTGGCAGGCTTGAACCACGGACCTGTGTTTGCAGTCTAGTGCTTATTGTATATAAGTAAAAGGGTCACTTGTTCCTCATGCCTCTTTTAAATAGCAGAGATTCTACAAAACTCAGGATAATTATTACTTAGGGACTCCTAGTGTGACACTGTAGGATCAGCACTAGACTGCAAACCACAAAGTCAGTGGTGCAAACCCACCAGCTGTTCCTCGGACACCCTACATAGGGTAGCTATGAGTCAGAACCGACTTGAGGGCACTTAACAACAATAATCATTACTTGGACGTTCCTAGAAATGAAAACTCCTTAAAGTGAGTGCTCTCTGTCCACCCCCTCATCAATCACACAAGCATGGAGCTCCACCTAGAGCTGGTACAAGTAGCAGCTGATTGGGCCTTGTCTTGAGCTCTGCTCAAGCCCCCTCGTATTTTGACGTTCCATGCATAAAGACCTGGTGTGGGACAACAGATAAGCACAGAACAGATTTGTGATTCAAATCCAACAACTCCTCGGAAACCCTATTCAGGGTCACTAAAGAGTCAGAATGACTTGACAGCACTTAACAAATCAAAGACTGAACTTCCTCTATTGCTCAGTTAGGCTTGTGTCGTCTCAAAAGACCTCTCTCTTCACTTTCGCTTCTATTCAACTCCTGCCCAATTTCATTTTTCCCAGCAAGACTTGACTATACCAGAATTCAGTAGGTACTCAATGCAAAGAACTAGAAACTACTGGCCCAGAAGTGTATACTCACAAGTCATTCACTCCTCACAATAATCCTAGCAGAAAACGGACTTTTGAGGGAGGTCCTGTGACTCCTTCAAGGTTCCATAGTTGGTCTGCAAGATTCCAAACCTTTTCCCTATAAGCCTGGGCCAACCCCCTCAACGGCCCCACACCAAAGAGGCGCTTATTAGAATGGTCCAGGAGCGCCACCATGTGCCTTTCGCTACAGCAGGGAGTACAGAACTGGGCACGAGTGAAAGATACTGCCCAACATCCAGAAATGGGACCCAGACAGGAAATTCATTCAAGCCGCAGATGCCTTCAACTCCAAGGTGCAGAGCTAACGAACGAAGCGGAATTCAGAAGGCGTCAGTGCTTCTAAGCAAATCCTTTCAAGCTCTACCACCTAACAGGCCTTGACTGTATTAGTACCCCAGACTACAAACCTGGGCAAACGGGACTACTTCAGAGGGGTCTACCCTCGTGTTTCTCATCGGCGAGTGATCACAGTAAGGCATCTACGGTCCCTAAGCCAGGGAAGGCGTTTACTGAGCATCGTTTCCTTTCAGCTAGCTCACCCACCTCTGACTCCCCAGTTGCTCCGGCTGGTGCCGGCCCCATCACACCAAAAACCGCTCCCGCACCTCAGGTTCAAGTTCCGTCTACACAGCGCTGTTTCCCACGTGGGCGGAAGTGGTGCTCTTCAAGACGCAATTCAATGAGAGTCCCGCTCCTCAGAATTCCGCCCACCTACCGAACCATTGGGCTAGTACCCAAAGAGTCACTCGTCATTGGTTAGTCACTCTTCAGGAACGCCCATTGGGGGAAGGGGCCGGACAACTTCGCTAATTTACGGCCTCGTCGCGACGCGAGACCGGAAACCTGCTGGTAATTTAGTCTTAGCTTCCTTTTCCTCATTTCTTTCCTTTTGGGTCAGGAGGAAAGGGCGGAGCGAACAGGATCCCTGTAGGGAGTTTGTTTGTTTATCCACATGATTGACACCTATGTGCCAGGTGGTTCTAGCTCACCAGCCGCTTCTTGGAAACTCCGTACAGGGTCGCTATGGGTCGGAACTGACTCAACGGCACTTAACAACAATGTGCCAGGCCAAAGTTCTATTCGCAGGTGACCAAGACAAAGGAAGTTTTCAGTGCAGTAAGAGTTGCGGGAGGGAGGGAGAGCGACTGTGGGCTGAAGACCTGGTTGCGGGGGGTGGGGGGGGTGGGCGAGGTGTGAGAGGTGGGGAGGAAGGATTGCATGGAGGGGATTGTAACCATGGCAGTGAAATGATTTGCGTTAGAATGACTGTAAAGCTAATGTTCTCCCATGTAAACTATCACATAATTCACAATAAAACATTTAAGGGGGAAAAAAAAAAAAGAAAGAGACGGGCAAACACACATACACACAAAAAGAGTTGAGGAAGGAAAGGCACTTAATATGTGACAGTAACTTCAGCTACAGGTAAACACCATAAAAATTAGTGTGCAGGCTTGTTGTTAAAGTGCTGTTGAGTTAGTTCCGACTCATAAAGACCCTGTATAGGGTTTCTGAGGAACAGCTGCTGAGTTTGAACCCACCGACCGTGTGGTTCAATCCGACTTTGCAGTCCAGGGCGTTATACCACTGCGCCACACTGGGACTCCAGTAAACAGGGTAAGGGGTTAGATGTGGAAAAGTGGAGAATCTTTCAGACACAGTGATCCTGAAGGCTTCTGAGCTGATGCTTGAAGAGAGACCTGAATGAAGTTGAGAAGTGTTCCAGGGAAGTCTTAATATTCCTTCAGAGTATTCCCTCCTCCATCACCACTGCCTCTATCTGTATCTTGGGTTACACCCCATGTCTCACCTGGACCAGCAACCTCTTCTAGGTTCTCCTTGGCTTCAGACACCACTACCAAGCCCCTGTCCTCAAGGGAGTCATTTAAAAGATTTTAATCAGGAGAGACATGTGAGCTTTTTATTTTAGAAATTACATTCCATGTTTTCAATCTATGGATTGAAAGAAAGCAAAGAGGGAAACTGGAAACTCAGTTAAACTATTACTCTAATCCTGGTAAGTGATGTTACAGGCTTAGTTTAAGAAGATGGTTCACAGTGGACATGGGGAGACATGAAATTATACCTAAAATATTTTGAAGTTTGAATCAACAGAGCTTGGTGATTGGCTGAATATGGAAAAGTGGGGTAGAGGGTAATGTTAAGAATTACTACTGTTGGTACAATTGTTTCATATGTGATAGTGGTACCATTCTTTAAGATGAAGGACGCTAGAAATCCTCAACAGGATTTGGGATGATGAGGCTGCACTCAATTTTGGACCTATTTGAAGGGCCACTAATTTCCCCCCTCAAATCTGCTCCCTCTCTCATTTCAGTACTTGGCATCTCAATGAGTTTAGTTGTCAGATGAATCCTGGCTCAGCATGGGGGTGATCCATGATTGCTCCTCTTTTCCTCATCCACCACATCTTACCAAGTCTTTTCAGTACTACTTCCAAAATATAAGTATATCCTGGAATGTTTTACTCTTCTTTATCTTTATTGCCATGTTTAATCCAAAGCACAGCTTCTTGTGCTTAGGTTATTGTAATAGCTTTTCTACCGCTTTTTATTATTAAAATGTTCAAACCTATAGAAATGTTGCAAGAATGGCATATGGACTGCTCATATACTCTTCATCTAGATTCATTATGTATTCATGTTTTGCCAAATTTCTTTCTCCTTGTATTCACATGCTATTATTTTGCAGAACTATTTGAGAATCATTTGCAAATATCCATAAATATTCATCACTTACTGCCAACACTAACCACTATCCTGGTTTCTTATAGCATCAATTAGTTTATGCAATTTAAAGCTTTTAAAGGAATTCCCTACGCCACTTCTGTCCTTCTACAATCTATTTTCCACATCAAATTCATAACCACCCCACCCTCACCGTTGTCGAGTTGATTCTCACTCACAGTGACCTTAAAGAACAGAGTAGAACTGCCCCATATGGTTTCCAAGACATATTTACAGAAAATGGATTGCCACATCTTTCTCCCATGGTAAAGCGGTGGCTTTGAACCACTGACCTGGTTAGCAGCCCAGCATTTAACCCACGACACCACCAGGGCTTCTGTTTTCCCCACACAGCTGCTAAAATGAATAATCTGGTACTGAAATTGTATCATGCCATTCCCTTGAAACATTTTTTTCAGTTATTGTTAAGTGCCGTCAAGTTGGTTCTGACCCATAGCGACCCTGTATAGGGTTTCTGGGGAGCAGCTGGTGAGCTTGAACTGCCAACCTTGCAGTTTAAATGGCTTTGCAGTCTGGCGCATTAACCCACAGTGCCACATCAGGACACCAGGATTTTTTTCAGTAGCACCCACAAGTATCTCTAGCTTTGACAGGCTTGACTTATGTATTTATATGTGCTGCAAATATATCCATTAATATAGTAGAGTATGGTGGTAGTGGTTGTGTGTGCCATTAAGTTGGTTTAGACTCATAGAGACCCTATATAGGGTTTCTTTACTTTCCTATAAACCTTTACAGAAACTAAAAGCCTCACCTCATCTTTCTCCTGAGGAGCAATGGTAGATTAGAACTACTGTCCTTGCGGTTAGCAGCCCGCTCCTAATCCACTATGCTACCAGGGCTCCTCATAGTATATTGGGGGCAAAATGATGAAAACTTCCTAAGTAAGCACATTGAGAGTCTGGGGGCTCAGGATTGTAGTCTTAGAGGCATCAAGCACAACTGACAAAACATAGTCTACATTCTACTTTGGTGAGTAGTGACTAGGGACTTAAAAGCAGCTATCTAAGGTACAAGTATTGGTCTCTCTCAATCCAGAGCAAAAAAGAAATAAAATCAAAGATACGTGGAAACAATTAGTCCAAAGGACTAATGGACCATGCAAACTCCAACATCCATGACCCGGATACCAGAAAAGCTATATGGTGTTCAGCTACTATTACCAACGCTCTGATAGGCATTACAATCGGAGGTCCTGGAAAGAGTGGGAGCAAAATGTGAAACAAAACTCAATAAATAAAAGGACCAGACTTACTGGTCTGATAGAGACTGCTTGGATCCTTAAGACTATGGCCTATTGTTAAGTGCTGTCAACTTGTTTCCGGCTCAGTGACCCTGAATAGGGTATCTGAGGAGCGGCTGGTGGGTTTGAACCACCCCCAGTGGCTCAACTTTCAGTCAAACAATAGACGGGCCCATAAGGTGGAAAAAAAAAAAAGGGAGGTATGCATTCCATAGAATAACCAACAAAACCAGATCAAAGGGCAGCATTTGCTCACGGATAAAGCTCAGATAGGGGAAAGGACAGTAAGCACAGTGAGAAAGTGGGAAGAGTGCTGCTACATTGTGGGAATTACAATCAATGTCACAAATCTAACACTGTCAGAATTGTTGGATGGAAAACCAATTTACTCTGTAAACTTCCACCCAAATCACAATAAGTTATTTTTTCAATTCTTCAGTGATTCCTAATTGCATTTAGAACAAAATACCATCTTCTACAAGGCCATGGTCAATATGACCCCTCATCCTTTTCCTTGTTCCTTACTTAGGGAACTCCAGCAACATCAGTCTTATTTCAGTTCCTCAGTTGCATCAAGTTCTTTCACACCTCAGGAACTTGAGCTAAGTAAGCTGTTTACTCTGCCTGGGATGTTCTTTCTTGGCTTTCTCTTTTTCAACTTTCAACATCAGCATAAATATTCTTTTCTTAGTTAGGCCTTCCCTTTATCTCATCTCCCAATAATTTCCTTTTTAGCACTTTTCACAATTTTTGTTTACCAATTGTTCATCTCCTTGCCCTTAATTGTGAATCATGAAAATAAGGACATGTCCAATGCCTGGCACATTGTAGGCACTCAATAGTGTTTACTGAATGAATGAATGTGATCGTGGTCTACTTTTCAACCTATCTCTCACCATTGTCTCCCTCAAATTGAATGCCCTAATCATATTGGAGTTTCCCTAATCTAGCTTGCTTTGTTTCCTGGGCCTTTGACTTGTTGCCCTCTTTGATTGCTAAGGAAGATTTCCTGAAGGAAATATGGCTTAAGGTAAGTCTTGAAAGATGATTTGAATTTGAATTGATCAAGAGTGTGAAACATATTTGAAGTCTGAGGAAGAAGGAAGACCAAACTGAGGTTAGTCGGTCATTTGTACCATATTAAATGACATTCACGGAGCTGCAGACTCTAAGCTTAGTGGCAAGGATGTAGAAATGAATAGGCATGCCCTTACATTTCATAGCCTGGTTCCTTCTCATTCATTTGAACATAACCTCACAGAGATTTATCCTGCTCCTGCCCTCCCCATATCTAAAATTGCATCCCAATCCATTAATTACCTCCATTGGTACTTAACAAAACTTGCAACAACATTATCTATTAACTATTTTTAATCTCTTTATGACTCAGCTACGCAAATGTAAGCTCCATAAGTGCAAGGCCCAATTACTTCTGCTGCATTCACTGCTATAGTCCTGGCATTTAGCACAGGTCCTGTCATATAGCAGTGATCCAGTAAATATTTATTGAATGAAGAAATTATTGATTGACTCTCAAGAGCAACTCAAAGTAAACAAATAATTGCAGTACA